TGTTTAGAGTTAAGCACAAAGCTACACAATGGACTGTCTGTACTCTGCCCACCATGGGTATTGAAACCCGGTTTCTAGCGTTGTAAGCCTGTAGATATACCGCTGTGCCACTGGGGGCTATTACCATAGGAAGAAGAACATCTAAACTGCTAAGGTTTCTTGAATATGAAGCTTTAATCAGTAAAGCTTTATATCATCATATAAACTAATCGAGAGGAAACAGTTGTAGAAACACGTAGTTCTGGTGTTCGATGTGAAAATGACAAATACCTTTTAAGGTTGAGAGGTTTTTTTATGTGACACAACTGATGAAATTCCTTTTTTGAAGGAGTGGGGGGCATGAAGACTACACTTGGAAGTATGTTACAAAAAACTGGGTCAAGCACCACCAGGCGGTATAGCTAAGAGACGTATGATAAAAGATTGTGTGCCAATGGCAAAATAGACAACTTCAAACGAAAAAAAAAAAAACTTTAGAAAGAAATCTTAAAATAACTTTAAAGTAATATTTACACTATAAATAAAACCACATTCGTATTTATTCTATGAACGAGTAGGTCTTTAAATAATGTTTTGAGAAGGTGTCTTATGACATAAAATTATGCTATCTGAGTTGATTTCAACACAAAGTATACACATCAAAATATAACCACTCCATTACTACAGTTTCATAATACTGAAGGTTCCAGTAAGTAGGGTTCGACTCGTAATATGAGGGTCGCGGGTTCGAATCCCCCTCACACCAAACATGTTCGTCCTTTCAGCCGTAGGGGGCGTTATAATGTGACGGTCAATCTCACTATTCGTTAGTAAAAGAGTAGCCCAAGAGTTGGCGGTGGGTGGTGATGACTAGCTGCCTTTCCTCTAGTCTTACACTGGTAAATTAGGGACGGCTAGCGCAGATAGCCCTCGTGTAGCTTTGCGCGAAATTCAAAACAAACAAACAAACAATCCAGTAAGTATATGATGTCCAGTAAAGATTCCTGTCCGAATTTTACATTTTCACAATGACTTTTATACCAAAATAAGAAGTAGAATAGTATTGGTTACAAATAAACTTTAGATATGGAAGAAATATTCTATGGACGCTTACAGAAATGTTTTAGATATAAACAATCAAATAATAACATATAGAAAATCCGATCTTCCATCTCAAATTTTTTTTCTCTCTTTTCGACTCCCACTCAGTGGCTCAGCGGTACGTCTGAAGGCTTATAACACTAAAAACCGGGTTTCGATACTTTTTTTTTTAGTTATCACTAGGTTTTTGGTGTTTGCTTGTTGTTTTTATAATATCAAGATAATTCAGAATGTTTCCTTGAAGTTATAGACGACTTCTTTTCATAACTCCGGCCAAGACCTTTCACCGAACAGGATAGTTAAATGTTAACGCCCTCTAGTTTAAGGTTAAATCATTACCATTATCTCTCCACTCCTTTGTAATATTTTTTGTTAGCTTAGTAAAATAGGATATCACCACTAGGTGTGATATTGTCGTCGAGAATCCGAAATAAGACACGGGAAATCCCTCAGTAAATAGGACTTAATTCAATGTTCTCAAGGTAAGTATGAATATTTCTCAGAGAATAAACAGAATTCGTTCTGAAATAACCTTATGCCTGAACCTGAAAGCCCGTTTTGCTAAACACAGTTAAACATGTAAAAATCTCACATATTGCTTAAGTAAACAGGACTTGGTTAATGGATTCACATTACCTCTCTAAAACATGATTCCACGTAATAAAGGATGATTAAGTAATACCAATTCCAGACCAGCATAAAGTATGCATGTGTTATGGAAGATGATTCAAATTGCTTGAAACCGGTCGAAAGTTGTAGTAACATAATTTTGTCGACTCTGATATCTTACTACTGAATCGTATCAGCTGCAAAAAAAAAAATATTTTATGGTTAGTTTCAGACATAATCTCGTAAAAGGAACTTCAGGTTGGAATATTTGGTATGAGCTATTTATATTTCAAGGTAAAATCGCATCATTTTTTGTGTTAAGCACCATTTGAGATCCTTAAATACGAACTCAGAATACATAAGAAATTATGAAAGTTGAACTTTATTTACACTTTAAAAAAGCTGTTCATAAGGAATGAAATTTTCGACACCCGTAAATGTGTTTTTGTATTTACAGTAAATTAAATCGGTTTTACGATATCGATCTCTGAGCATTTTAAATATTTACTATAGTCAACTTTGGACATGTGAGCTTGAGATATATAAATTTACTAATGTAAACTGGTTGGTAAAGTTCTTCGTGAACGCTTTGAACTTGTGTTTTAGTACTGATTTCAGTTAGACACACTTAATAAGATACTAGATTATATTTAGATAGAAAATTATTACATTTTATGTGAACTTATGTCAATTTGATCCAGTTTTAAAAATAAAAGATCAAATTATTAAGCAAAGAAGATAACTTGAACAATTAAAACCGATTAGATAATAAATTAGTTTTAACAGTAAGATGCTTGTTTCAGTTACAGACTTATAGACTTCTATCGGTATCATTCTAATGCAGTTATACAAAGTAAAGGCAATTCGTTTTACTTTAAGTCTAGGTAAATTCTACTTCACAAAATATTAATATATTATGTGCCATTTTCAGATAAGCTGTTCATTACTTTACAATGTCTCTATTATTAAGTCTAGGTAAATTCTACTTCACAAAATATTAATATATTATGTGCCATTTTCAGATAAGCTGTTCATTACTTTACAATGTCTCTAT